ATTCCAAGCCTTTGGGCGCTCTAGGCACAGACTTAGGTCCAAGATTCCAACCCCTGTAACTAGAGCATTTCGCTGAGCCTGAGTAAGCTTGCAACATTCGCCTTAAGCCCTAGACCCTGGGTCTAACTTTGCATACCTCTAATCCTGAATCATTCTAGGTCCTACACCTGGCCTTGTTCACTTTCCTTTTCTTGCTCGCCGCTGGCAACTCGTCCAGCGCAAAGACGATCTTCTCTTTACAAGTGATGCTTCCATTCTCACGGCTGTGGTAGGCAATTGTGATGACCTCCCCTGAGTCCTCCAGCGCTTCAATGAACTGCCGGAGGGACATCACCTGGCCAGATGCAGGAAGCAGTCAAGTTTTAACACTTGGGACTTGTCACAAAGACCCAAACCCGTCACCCAGGATTGGGGTAAATGTTGTTGTTGCTGGGGTTGTCAAGGCAGCTAGCGACTACTCCCCAAAAAAAGGGGTCAGCCAGGATTGGGGTAAAGTTTTTGGGGCTTGTTGGGGTACAAGGGCCGATGTGCGCAGGCAAGGTGGGTAAGCTGCGCCCAAATGCATTAGATGGGCAAAAGGGCTTCGGAGAGCTGCTAGGTCAAGAATACCCTGGGATAAGTTCGGCAATTTCTGAATGCTTCTCCCACTTGCCTTGTTCCAGACCGCCAAGCACTTGATGTCTCCTGGGAGCTTTCTGTCTGCTTCGCAGATGCAGAAAGTGTCATCCCAGCTGCCACTCATGTCATACATGAAGAAACGCGAATCCTCGGCGGCTGCAATGTCAGTTGCCGTCGCGCCTTGGCAAATCTCACCCGACCCAAATCCAAAGAGTTCAGTGTCGGCCGGAAGGCATGAGGCTTTCTCAGCGCCCAAGAAGAACCCGCCCTCATCTACCACATAGAACATCGTGAAGTCCCCAATCGAAGCCTCAAGAGCCCTGAGACTGGTGCAGGGGAGGGCTAGAATTCGCTAGCAATTCACCGTGAGATATTGTACCACGCATCCATCTTTACAAAACAATATAGCCCCCCTTGAGTAGATAGAATATAGGGTCTATGTTATAACATACTACTTGGGAATATAGTTCTAAGAAGGGTTTTGTTTGCCTACTGGGTTACGTCTTCTGGTCCTTGAAAAACAGTCTTACTCCATATGTTGCAGACCATGTTCCCCTTGTGCTTGTCACGGAAGCTCTCCATGGTCTCGTACTCTGTCTCTAGCTTGACACGCTTGTGAGTCTTGGCTTCCTTGTTGGCATCGACCTCCTCGGTGTTCGTAGAAGCCTTGCGGTGGTTGCGGTTGAACTCCTTGTCGTGGTCCCCCAGAACCTGTCTGAAGCTCTGGGCAAAGCTCGAGTCGGCAAACTTGTCTTGAAGGCTTTGTAAGATGATCAACTCACCCGCCAATGGCACTGTGACTGAGTACTGGTACGAGGAATCTTTGAGGGGCTTTGACTGAGTCTTTGCCATGTCCTCGATGGCAGCAGCGAAATCAGGAAAACCTGGAACCGACATCTGCTTCGCCTTGGCCCTTGAGAACACGGAGTGAAGGATGACGTCCTTAGAGGTAAAGCTTTTGTTCTTCGTTTACTTACGTATTTCGTTGCTTCTAGCACCCAATGTTCTCAACCCTGCACCTTAGAAAGCCAAAGCCCAAAACTGCAGCGTAACAGTGCGCAGCGCAAACAATGTCTCATGCAAGACAAAGTTGCCTTCACGAAGCGATATTCCGTGTCGCTGTGACACACCGTTGCGCAAGCGATGGACTGCCGGTTGCCCAATGCCTCTAAGACGGACAGGCCGGGCCATCCGTCATGGCCAAAGAGATCTACCAGCACGGTGCGCTTGTCCCAGGCATTCAAGCACTCCAGGATGCGGGTCACCACGCTTGTCCCTCCCAGGTGCTGCCGAAGCTCCTGCCATGTTCCAGGCGTGTCAAAATGAATGAACACCCTGTTGGCAACGTGATGTCCTCTAAGAATGGAATTTCATCTATGGGTGTAGACGTAATTAGAAGCCTGGCAATGAGGCAAGACTTTTGTTGTACACAGCTGTCCTGGCAGGGCGTGAGCCTATCCGAGCTGGCTGCAGATCTCTTACCCACATCCACCTTCACCATGTCCTTGACGGTCTCAGAAGGATAGTTGCATTTTCTTGATACGTATAAACGATTGTTTGCAATACTGCTACAGCTCTTTATTACTAGAAGATCAAGCTCCCCTGAACCTTTTCGATCAATGCTAACAAGTTACGTTGCGGGCCAACATCTCAACCTTGTCGATCAAGAGGCGGCGAAACAAGGTCACCTTGGCGAACGCAGACCCACAGCCTGTGCTGGTGACAAGCCAGCACTCGTGCGAGCCAGCGCGCTGTCCGTAGACAGACTGCTCATTGAAGATCACATTCATGGTCTTCACCTGCAGCTGCCTGACCGGGTCCTGGAGCATGACTAGGAGGGAATACTTGAAATCCCTGAGCTGCGCAGTCGACTCGCCAGAGCCATCCTTCTGGTCGTCGTCCTCATCGTCCAAAAGGTCTTCAGCCTCTCTGAACATGGAGACATCGATGTCTGCTGGGTCAATCTCTGCCTTGGACTCTTCCTTCCTGAGACAGGAAGTGAAAGATCGGGAATCAATGTAATGTTTCAGTAGCCTTACTACAGGGGGTCACAAGAGGCTGTTGTTGCTGAGCCAGAACAAGCTCGAAAATTACATTTTTCTTTGTAACAAGTTTTGAGCCCCAAAAGGTGTAAACAAGGTCCATCAGCAACAAAAGGGGTGACACCATTTCATCTTTTCCAGAGATGAAATGGTCTTAAAATCGCATTATTTCGCCGCGCAATTCAAACTTTCGAGAATATCAATGGGATCTCACCAGACGCCCCAACGCCTCGACTACTAGCCTCAAGCTTTATGGTTTGGAAATCTGAGGAGGAACCCGGGAAGCGTTGCTCGTTTATTATCATGAGCCATGTTTCGGGGGCCCAAAAGCGCAAAACAAGATCTGGGGGAAGCTCAGTATCACTAGCGCAATCACTAAAATGGATCATGGGCAGTAAAAAGAAACAGAACTCCTATTGAATCCGTAGACCCAAAAATCTTTCTCTCGCTTCAAACTTTAACGCTTACATGTTGACCCTTGTTCATGACAACCTGAACCTAGTGCACAACAGTAAGATGAAATCAAACATCTATACTTTGCAAGATCCACGTTTCGCCTTCCGATCTCTAAGGTCGGCCGCCCTGTTAGGCAACAGAATGACACCCACGAAAGTGGAAGGGGAGTTCGCAGCTGCTGTCTGCAAGCTCTGAACGAGAAACGTCACCTTTGGCGCAGTGACCACGCCTTGCGTCACCAAGTTTGCAAAGTAGAGCTGAAGTTCCTGCCCTTGGTTGCGGGCCCCGCCTGCCAAGGAAACCAACGCTTCGGATTGCCAAGGACAAAGCAAGGGTTCGAGTGGAATGGATTCCACGTCCCTTTGCACTCCTGTCTTCTTCTTCGGAGTGAGGTTCCAAATTGGCAGAACATCTTGACAGAAGCTGCGCACGTTGGACCAGCCGTTCTTGTGCAAGGTCTGCAAAAGCAGGAACACCATGAAACCAACGTGAAAACTGCTTGGAAGAAGTCATGTCGAATGCAGAAAGTCAATTTTGTGACATCTGGGGTTGTTTTGATTGCATCTGGGTCTGGGAATTTGGTAAAAATCTGCAATGCGCGCGCGCTGCAGATTTTGGCCCATTTCCCAGACCCCAGTTGCAATCACAAGAGCCCCAGATATCACCAAAATTATAACCACACCCTAAATACTATATGGCCATATGGCCAACATCTGCATTGGGCGCATTTGACTTAGCATTGCTCTACGTGAATTCACTGTGCTTGGCCCTAACCCTTGTTTCGAATCAAAACACATCATGACACTAAGCCTTTAAACTTTTACACTCAGTGAAAACGAAACATGGATTGACTCCGGTCCTTCGAAAGAGGCCAATCAGTCAGTCTGTGAAGAATCTTATGATGTAATCCCATGACTTCCGACCTCCAACTATTATACTATCCCGGAGTTTTGGCTGCGCATGTGGACAAGCCTCCAAGGTTGCCACGGCAGCCCTGCGCTTCTTCTCCGCATCTCCGCTGGACCGGGCCAATGCCCTTGGACTGCGCTGCAGACCAACACCATAAGTAGGTTTCAGGCTGCTTGGCTTTCCAGACAAGAGAATCGTTGCTGTAGAAGTATAGTTCGAGCTGGGAGTAGCAGAGTAGTAGCAGAGTAGTAGTAGTAGTAGCAGTAGTAGTAGTAGCAGTAGTAGCAGTACAAAACCAGACAGCAAGCACTGTAAACCGTGGTACATAAAACAAGACCACACAGCAAGCACTGTAAACAGGATAGGGGCAACACACAGCTACCGTGGTACACAAAATAAAACCGAGACCACACAGCAAGCACTGTAAACAGGATAGGGGCAATGCCGAACAGCAACCGTGGTGCATAAGATAAAAACAAGACCACACAGCAAGCACTGTAAACAG